CCACCCCCTGCCCTTCCCCCTTCTCCCCGCTAACAGCTAATGCTATCTGCGTGTGGCGGTCCCTGTGTGCGGCGCGTTTATTGCTATCATTTGTTAGCGCTTCTTGCCGTTTGCCGTTAGCTTCTCCGTCTTTGCTGCTGCTGCTGTTCTGAGGCTCGTCAGAGTCCCGGTCGGCGTGCTCTAACTCACCGCTGTTCACGGCCGCCGTGGCGTTGATGATCTTGGCGTTGGCCTCATCTTTCACCCCTCCCGCCTCCTTGCTCTTCTTCATGGGGCTGCTCCCTGTTGTCTTTTCCTCCTCCTGGTGATTATGCGTGGCGTTCTCCTCCTCTGTGCCGTTGGAGCAGCCGTTCTCCCCGTTGGTCACCGGAGCTTCGGCCGTCGTCTTCTCCGGCTCCTTCTCCGGCTCCTTCGCCACCTCCGCTTCACTCTCCTCCGCTGGTGTCTTCTCAGCTGCTGTCGCTGCATCTTTGTCGTTGGCTTCCGCGGTCGCTGCGGCAGCTTCGCCGTCAGCGGCTCCCTCCTCTGTCGCCGCTGCCTCTCCTCCCTCTCCTCCCTCTGCGGCCTCCTCCTCCTTGGCGCCCTCGCCTGTGTCCACACTGGTGGACTTGCCCTTCCGCATGATGAAGTTCTTCAGGGAAACCGCACGGCCGAAATGTGAGCGCTTGGCTTTGGCCGACTTTCCGTCTTTGCCGTCCTCTGTGGCGCCTTCCTCACCTGGAGCGGAAAAAAGCATTTGAGGTTAAAGTTCATCAGGGTGTGCATCAATTAGTCGCACAGGATTACAGCGGGTGAGTGGAAGAAGTGTTAGCAAATATTTATATTACTAAAAACTAATTTATTGATTAAAAATATTAGAGTCTGACCTCTTCTTTGTCCTTTCTTACACTTGGCAAACATTCATGAAATTCATTCAATCACATTCTTCAAACAAAAAGACAAATGTTCATTTCCTGTTTAAGAAAACAGTTGATAAGTAGTAAAACCAAAGATAAGCTGTCGAGTCTATTTTGTAAAGTGCTTCTGATATTTCTGTAGTTTGGTTTCTTTTTTAAGATTTTCCTTCTTCTACGTTAAGGATCATTACACTGTTTCTGTTGAGGTCTTTTATTGTGAAAGGCAGGAACAGGAATAATCAGGGAAATTA